TGTATTGCTGTTTTGAAGATTCTACTGAAACTACCTGTGTATTGCTGTTTTGAAGGTTCTACTGAAACTACCTGTGTATTGTTGCTTTGAAGGTTCTACTGAAACTACCTATGTATTGTTGTTTTGAGGGTTCTACTGAAACTACCCATGTATTGTTGTTTTGAAGGTTCTACTGAAACTACCTATGTATTGCTGTTTTGAAGGTTCTACTGAAACTACCTGTGTATTGCTGTTTTGAAGGTCTGACAGTCGGTTTCAGCAGTTCTCTAATGACCAATAGTATCGTGCTACATTCAGTGTTAATTATAAAAATAAATCTCCTAGTGTTGGATTGGTGTTTTACAAAATATATAAATTGATTGTAATTAAAAATGTCATTACTATCTCAACTTAGCATCAGGTCATTTTCTTTTAATCCATCATGTTCAATCTTCATATTTCACAAGCAGTCTTAGTAACCAAATAACTTGAGATTTAAACATTTTTCAAGTATCATCATATTTAAAAATCACCATATTTTTACTCAGATACGTTACTCTATTATTTCATCAACTTACAGAAAACGGAACTTAAGATCTGGACCCTCGGTTCCACTATCCAACACGCTAACAACTAAGCCACATCTGACTCACCATAGAAAGTAACATGTTTCTCTGCAAAGGTAAATTACATTACACACTACCTTTATGTAATTTTACACACATTAATGCTACAAAAAAGGCATCAATACGTTCATGACTAACTTAAAATTAAAAAATAATAATCCAAGTAACTGAAAATAAAACGTGTACATTTTCCCTAAATTAACAATCGGTATCGTTATTTCTTTGATCTACGTCCCAAGGCGTTCATTAAAATCGCCACGCATGTCTAAAATGCTTCATAATGCCCTCACGCTCTCATATAAAACACGCACTAACGGCAGAATTTTCTTGTTTCACGTAACACCGACTTTATATGCGCGGAAAATGTATAAATGTGCATATACATATATTAGTTGAAGCAGCTTCAGCACTCTCGTTAGGTTAATAAAATGAAATTAAGTTTGTCTTAGATATAGAAACGTATTTCATTTACCTTGTACTACAGCAAATTCTTGTTATCATCACTCTTCTTAGGGTTCTAGTTGAGCTGATAGGTGCTGATATTGCTTGTTATGATGCACTTCTCAAGCTAAGGCGGCTTTTTGGAATTGAGATTATCGCATTGAGGTAAAAGTTCTTTGGGCCGAAAGTGAATGTATATTTCAAGATGTTAACTTCTCCAATTTTAAACCTACTTAGCACTTTGGTGTAACTTTCCGTGTCGTTTTCTTGGCTTGACTGTTCAAAACTCTTGTTCTCTGCATTGGTTAATAATGTGGACAATGTTGCCTGATTTGACTGAGTAGTCTTTTAACCCATTTGGAAAGTTCAAGAACCCCAAACACCTCTACTTGAAACTGCAAGAAATGATAAAAATGGACATTTATCGATTTTATCATTTCTAGTTGCTACATTAGAATTACCATACACATATTTTCCACCCCAGTTCACCTGAACGACAACATGAATAATAAGTCGAGAGTTTACACTTACAAATGCACAATTCAAGTTCATTTACGTCCAAGAGATAAATTTAAAAGTATCTATAAAAACGCAGATTTCAACTGAGTTGAACTAGATTATAGGTGATAAACCCTGTAATTGCGCTCACCCCTCGTATGGAGGCCGGTTGCCTGACAGGAGGTAGATGAGAACTGCTTTACTGATGTTACCAGTGGTCATTTGGCTGTATACTATTCTATTGATTCTCTATATTTTTGTTCTTCCGAGATACACCAAACGGTTCGTTGTTTTCCACCAGTCTTATTTCCTCTGAATATTAATGAAGACCTTCCTTGGTTGCCATTTTCACCTTACTGATATCTGTCAGTAAAATTGTGCAGAATTTGATAAAGAGGTTTGACTTGTGAGTTTGTCAGCTTCCTCGTTTGGCTTTATCTCGACAGGGACTGGTAAATACATCCAAGATGGTCTTACCGTGTCAGTAGTGCAAATATTGTGTGCGAGAAGAATTTCGAACACAGACAGTAAAGGGAAAAATAAACAAATGACAATAAGTGAAGCAGAACATTATTCACAAATGTTCCAGAAGAATACTTACATTTGCTGTCCTCTGGCGTGAAGAAAAAAATCAAGAAGAATTCAAATCCACCTTTATACAGATCAAGGACAAAGAAAGTTCTCATTTATCGTCCATATTTAGACTGAAAAACTATAAAGTGCGCTTACCAAAATTCAATGCTGCATACATCACCGTTTATTCTAAATAACATTTATAGAGAAAAAAACTCAAACTGATACCAATTTGTATAAGTATCGGTGTCAACGCTTGAAACAGGATCGTACTTCCTTTAGTAGTAGAACCAGACTCAGACTACGAGTTTCTAGCCTTGGCGTATGCAACGTTTACCTAAGGAAAAGATTATTACACGCTTACGACTTTTCGATATCCGATTAACAAAAATGTCATAACTACATGCAGAATAACTGTACGAAAACGTAATGGAATTACCAGAAAATATCTGACTTAATATACAGTGCCTTGCAAGTCTTCATCCCCTGTGTTATTAATAAATTTTAGGTATTTTCTTGTGAGATATTTAACTCAAATGGCAAAAAATGTTTATTATATTAATCTCAAACCAGTGTCTAAAGATTTCAAAGCACAAAAGGTGCATTGTTACCCAATTTAGGTATATGACAAAAAATCTTGAAAACACGTGTTGAAAAAGTCTTCGCACGTCTTTCCCTTTCAGCTTTTACCATCGTTGATTTAACTTTACTCACTATTCTGCTAAAGTAAATACAAGTGGTTCTGTACAACTCTATCAGATATCAAAGTATATTATAGAACCATGTGAAAAAATACTTTAGGTAATATAGAGCCATCAGTATTGATTTAAGCAGAGTATTTTGAAAGTTAAAATTTAGTTTACTGTTACATATTAAAAATAATTAGAAAAGAACTCTCTACAGACTTAAGGGAGAAGATTGTTCAGAAGCACAATTCCAGATAAGGCCATAAATCAATTAAAAAGGTGCTCAATTTGCTGTTGTGAAGAAATGGAAAGTGTGTCACACTACCTCAACCTTGCTAAGATCAGGTCGTCCTAAAAAGTCTGCGCGAGAACAAACAGAAAAGTCGTCAGAGAAGCGACTGTAAAGCCAACAGTGACACTAAAGGAGCTGTAGACTCCAATAGCAGCAACTGGAGTTACTGAACACACCTCGACAATATTACGTACCTTACACAAAAAAGTTTGTATGGTAGGGTGGCAAGAAAGATACCACTACTGACGAAGATGAATTTTAGATCGCGAATGGACTATGCCCGTAAACATGACAATAATCCTACACCAATATGGCAGATGAGATCAAAATAGAATTTTTTGGGTTAAATGACAAACGGTATATATGGCAGAAACCCAATACTGCTCATAACCCAGCAAATACAGTTCCAACTGTCAGGCAAGGTGGTGGGTCTATAATGCTGTGGGGATGCTTTTCTGTAGCTAGCATTGGAGAAGTTGTACACATTCAAGGGATCATGGACAGTGCAAAATATACACTGAAGAAGTCAGCTGAAAA